ATATATATATATATATATATATATATATATACATTTTTTTTTTTTTTTGAGGGAAAAAAAAATTTGATGAGAGTAATTGACAAGATGATGCCTTGCAACTAATTCACGTCAAGTACACATGATGTCGAGTAGATTTTTATCTTTCTGATCTAATGATTAGATAGGGTTTATTTTTTTCTGGACGAAATAAATCATATCTTTTACAATTAGACCTAGTAATTTTTTTCCTTCTCTCACAAACAGCTTTTTCCCACAAATATTTTTTTTTTCTTATTGGTGAATTTTTTTATCTAATTTTTTTGAATATGGCTGACATGGCTCTGTGCCAGTTGTACCGCAGTTGAAGTGTATATTGGTATTGAATGCGTTGTGTTGTAAGCGCCACAAGAACATATTGCTCTACATTGCTGGTGGCTGACGATGCTGAAGAAGCTAGCATCTATGAGACTGGTTTCTAACCTCACAATTCAGTGGCAAATTAAAAGCTTATTTCAGTGGTCTTAAAGGAGTCTAGATTGCATTTGCACCCCTCCCCACTCACCCATTCCTCCCCATTAATTTTATTGCAATAATCCCACCGCAATGACACAAATGCATGCAAATAATTGTTTCCAGATCAGCGGAAGAGACCATAAGTCGCAGCTTAGAAATGCTTTCTAAGTGAAAGAAACAGGAACGAGACAGAGATTTTACATGAGAGTTGAAACTCTGAGAAGAATCAGAAAGCACACACAGATAGATATAAATATAAATATTTATATCTCAGTCTTGATGCTGTTTAAAAAGAAAGAAAAAAAAAGGTAACTGCTGGAGAGCCAAACACTAATTTGGGTGAAAAATTAAAATAAAAGAAAAGAAAAACTACTCACAGTCAGTCCAGCTGAATTTTAGCTTTGAATTGATCACAATCTGCCTTTTCGTTGACTTTATTCAATAGTTAAGAAAAGATTTGATCTCTGAACTCAAAACAGCTCAACATCGGACACTCACGGTTGAAGTTGACATCTGCCTTGAGGTCCCCTAAGCGACTTTGGAAAAGGTGTGTGCATACGGCCAGACAGAGATTTAAAGAGGAGTGACAAAAACAAATGAGGCAGATTAGCAGTGCTGGCCGACAACTGACGGTGTCATCTAGGACATGTTATCGAGGAATATCCTGCCCAGATAATGAGCTGATAGGGTGTCATGACAGACTTCAGTCAGAGGCCTCTTCAGTGTTGTTCCAACACCGACTGCTACCGGACATCATCCTTGTAACCTCTTTAAACACCTTTAGGGGCGCCCCTGAGTTGAAGCATGTGTGTGGGAGACTTTAGTTATTGTATGAGATATCAGTTAATGCAAAGCCTTCGCATAAGAGACAGATTACACTCAAATCTTTAACCGTGTGCCCACTCGTTTGCCTTTAGCATAAATTAGCTAATTGATACTCTGAATGAGCCTTCGGGAATAACAACAGCAATAATTTAGTAACGTAAGCAGACAGGCGAGGAGGGGGCGGAGGCGTATTATTTGACAGTAGAAGTGTGTGGAGAGGCAGGGAGCTCCGGGGGTCTCCGGTTGGTCCATGAGCGATGGAAGCGCGTCCCCGACACTTCAGGTGATCGAGAGGGAAGCAGAGAGGAGCGGGACGCTGGCCGCTGCTGCGTCGCGTTAGAGAAACAGCCAAGAGTGGAAAATGACTTGTGTTACGTCGCCCGGAGCGCCAGCTTCACTGACAGCATGTCTGCTCTTCGTTGCGGGATGTTTCGCACAGAAAGTAAGTTAGCATTTGTTTGCTGCATTTAAAACAAAATTAGAAGAAGAAGGAAAGGGGGGAAAAAAGAAGTCATTCACCACCTTACTCCAGCGTGTCTTTCTCCTGGATACACTCAAACCACGAGCTTGTTGTTGTTTTTGACTCTGTGAGAACTTCAAGTAATTTTTTAAAAAAAGACAAACTGTGTTTCATTTCGGGATAAATATGATACATGATGAACCTATTGCGTCATCTGCGTGTTCGTTATAAACGCACCGCTGTAACTAACCACATGCGAACTGCTGGAAACAAGCTAACACATTGTGAAATTTGACATTTCAAAGTGTTTTTGTGTTTGTGTGTGTTAAAATAATTTAGCCTGCGTTACTTTGTGTCGACGACGCAGATAACCTCGTGTTGCCTCCTGACTTTTGTTGATTGTTGAGCAGGAACTCGCGTGTGCCTGTTTGACAGTTTTAAAAAAAGAATCCGCCGTCACGACTTGTTTACTCATCTCGATTCGAGCAGATCTGCCCTACTTCACCATCCATCCAGTCTTTATGTGTTTTATTTAATTAATTTAATTTTTAAAAATTATTTCTAAGCTGAACTTCAACATTGCTCATTGCATGCAGCTCGGCTTTCAGGGCTTGTTTTGATGGCACAGGCGTGTTTTGGTGTTTCTGCACAGCTCAGGGTTGGAGAATGGCATGCAGAGTCCAAACTACTGAAATGAGAACCACATTTGAGAGTATGTGCACCTCATGTTTTATGTTTTCACTCAGTATATAATCCCACGCTTTGCCCCTGACATTATATAAATGTGTATACAGGCAAGCGCAGACTGTCGAATTTTGTTGAACATATTTTGTTTGGATTCTGTCAAGGCTCTTCTATTCAGGTCTGGCTGATTGGGGTGTGAGTGCAGTGAAATCCCGGTACCCTGGTAAAAGGTTTCGAGGTGCAACAAAAGCAAACTTAAATGCATTTTATGTGGTAGACTGATGCAAATTACTGCAGTTGCAAAGTGGAAGGAAAATGATGAGTAGATTTCTAAGATAAGTGAATTCGGATGACAGCAGGGTTGCACTGGGTTTAATTTAAGGGTAGCAGAGTAAGAATGTCCCAAAACAAACCTCACTTTTCAGATTTTAAATGGCGAAAAAAAAAAAAAAAATCGGTGTAAGTTTCCTCTTTCTTCACAATAATACATTGCGGTGTCCCAATCCGATATTGATGTTGGAGAGATAATCATATTATATTGGTCTGCATCTAAAATCTCTGATTTAGGCACGGCAGTCCTCTCCAATATTTAGTCCGCCCCATCATTTCTACCCAGAGGTGTTTGTATCCCACACGCTGACCCACTGGTCAACAATAAATGGGTCAGTTGTTCTCATACTTTCTCATACTTATTGTTGATGACTATTGTTCTCTGTTTGAGTAATATTGCTTGATCTAGCCTTTTTTAGCATTCCACACTACAATAAAAGTAATAAAAGTATGTTTGATTCGTGCCTTTAATATCAGTATCGGCCAATATGCAAAGCTGCAAAATGGGTATCGTATTGAAAGTGAAAAAGTTGTATTGGAACACTCCTAATTATGCCTTGTGTTGGTCTTACTCATAAAAACCCTGATGAGATACCGAACAGGGTTTTCTCCAGTGTATAATAAGTCTGGAGGGCCACCATGCTTTACTTGCACCCCCACCAGGCCGAATGTTGTTTGTTTATTTTTAGTTTTTTTCCAGCGTTTGCCTTTTTTAAAAGACTTTATTGGTGTATAGGTGTTGCTTATACTGTCTTCCATTAACACAACAGCCTGTTCAAATTTAAAAATTTCCTTTCAACTCAAACCATTTCTTAACTCAGAAACACGGTGAGCTGCTGGAAGGCTGCCCTAGTGCCCTGCCATTGGGCTAAGTAGGTTTTCTGGGGGGGAGAAACCTCACTGGTGTTTGTGCAAGTGACATGCGTCAAAAGTATGAATACTTTTTTTTTTTTCTTTTTTCACTCTTTTTGTTCTTCAAACGTAATCCCTACGTACGTGTAAACACCGATTGAAGTGCAGCCTTTAAAAGTGCTTTTTGAACTTCCTCAGCTGACTCTTTTTCTTTATAGATGACTGAATCCTGTGACTGATGTCTAAATTTAAGGAGCTTTACCTTTGACACATATTTTTAGGTCATCAGGAGCGAAGGAAGACCCGTGGCTTCCATCTGTCAGGAATCATCCTCTTCCGCTTATGGAGCTGGTCGGCTCTGCAGCAGAGTTCTTAGAACTGGCCTGCAATAAACCGTCGATGTATCAAATTGTTTGCATCTACCGCTTTAGTTCCCGTGCGCATAGGGTGCACACTATCTTTGCAATTATCTGCCTGAGGGGGCATGGTAAATGATGGCTTTGTCCTCTGTTCCCCTTTTGTATTAAGTTGATTTTTGGAACAGCATAAATAAGCTTGGAATTTATTCTATCCCCCTGAGAGCAACAGAGGCGGTCGGTCCACAATTCAGCTCTTTGGTGGCAGGAGAGTGAATTTGATCTTTGTTTTAGTGCTCCGCTTTGTGTTTCGGAAGGTTTATTTGAGATGGAATGAGGCGGGCATTCATTACTAATTGAAGTGAGTTGTGGGACAAGTGAACAGTGGATTCACTTATTCTTCTGTTGAATTATAAGACAACATGTCCACACAGCCCATCTACAGCTAAACATGTCATCGAGTGTCAGTAGACTGAAGTGGGAACAGGACAAAAAGGGGCCCACCCTGACAAATACAGCTTGAAGTTCTGACGAAAGGACAGAGAAAGTGGGCAGTGTTATTGCAGCAAGTGTTTTTGTGAAAGATGACCGCTGATGATTTAACTTGTTGGATTAGATGAACACTTAACAGTCAGACCTGGCTTTTATGTGTAGTCTTGAGTTTGGACAGGACCTACAGACTCGCATTATTACGTATATTTGTGGGTTTTTTAGTTCTAGAGATGGGCACAAATAAAATCCAGCTAGAACGTAAGGACTGTGGATTTTTTTTGTCACCAGTGCAGAGCCATTTAAAAATATACATATGGTGATAAATAGTCCCAGTCAGATCTTTGATGAAGAAATTAAGTGACATCATGATTCATAATCTATAGAAATGGGGTGGGGGGCCTTCAAGTTTTATCATGATATTTTGTGGTGCTGTAATGATAATTAAAGTGATGATAAGAACTTTGTTTTATTTTTAGGGAACTGTATGGCTCTGACTGTATGACACAGCAGTCATGTCCCACAAACAGATACTTTTCTTGGAAAAACATCCGTTTGTAATTCACGTCTTTAGGACACCAGCCACATAACGAAGTGAAAAAATTCATTGAATTTATTGATTCTTTCATTGAACCAACATTGGAGAAAATGGTAAAACTAACAGTCCCGACAATGTGGACAGCTTTTTAAACATTGTTAATTGGAATTTGTTGGAATTTGTCCAATTACCAATCTTATCAAAAATTATTATCATGGTAAGAAATTTATCGCAATAGTTGATAAACGATACGATAAATGCCCACCGCTAATCTATTGTTGTTTTGTTTTTGTTTTATGTTAGACCCCTTTGACAGCTTCAACAGCTTCCCAGAAGCTCTAGGAATCTGTTTACAGGGAATTTTTAATTGTTTTTCAAGAAGCGCATTTGTGAGGTCAGACATTTGTATTGGATGAGAAGACTTGGCTCACTCTCCTCTACTTTAATTCATCCCAAAAGTGTGCTATCAGGTCTCTGAAATGGCCTCGCCCATCCTTCTCTTCCTGGACTCTGCTTGGAAAAGGGAGAGATGAAATCCAAACTGTTCCCACCAACTTGGGAGTGTGGAGTCGTCCAAAATATCTTAATGGGCTGAAGCAGCAAGACTTTTTTTCACTGGAACTGAGGGACTCCTGAAAAAGCAGCCCCGCACCAAAACACCCTCTGCACAAAACTTTACATTTGTGAGTAGAGCTGCACCACTCTGGAGTCCAGTATCAGCGCTTTACACACCACCGCATCCAACTCTTTGCATTTGCTGATGAGTGCCACATGAAGTTTGTAGGTCCGTGGCTGTTGACTCTGCAGAAAGTTGGTGGGCTCGGCGCTCCCTGCACCTCATTATCTTTGATTTTACTTGGCCTGTCACTTCATGGCTGAGTTTCTGTTGTTCCTAATCGCTTCCACCTTATTATATTACCACTAATGGGTCACGGGGAGATATTTATTAGCGAGTTCAAAACTGGACCTATTGCACAGGTACCGTTCTGGAATTTACGGAGCCCATTCTTTCTCAAATGTTTCTAAAAACAGCTTGGATGCCGAGGTCTCCTGTCTGGGACTTTTGACATGTTTGCTCAAACAAGGCTAAACTATGTTAAGCAGCAACTTTATTGTTTAGATAAAGTCACCTAAAATGCACATGCCTGTATCATTTCTTTCCAAATACTGCTCAAAACACACAGCTACAGTCTTTAATAGTAGTTTCTACCATCTTGCTAACTAAGCTAGGCTAAGATGGCTTGTGTCAACGTGATTCACTGATGATTCGACACACGTCCTTCCAGTAAATCGCTGGCAGACAAAAGAGACGGGGAGAGTTGTTCTTGTGATGAATAAACTTAGAACTTTACTTTGAACATTAAAGCAGAGTAAAATTAAAAAAAAAATTCTTTTGTTGAAAAAAACTAAAGAAATGGAGAAATGGATATGTGTGGGCGCAGCTGGCAGTCTCTCTTTTGTACTGAACATCATCGCAAACTTTGGAAGCAGAAAATATCAAATTGAAAGAGAAAATCCCTGATTTGTTACATCAATTTTTTCTTTTTTCTTTTTTTAATTCTCCGTGCAAAACTTAGCTGAATTGCTTGATCATGGATGCAAGACCAGCAGTGGATGTGAGTTGAGCTTCTTCAAGGACTCTTAATTTCAATCTCTCAAAAAAAGTTCTCATCAGTCCCAACACCTGGGATCGGGTCAGAAGAATATCTCTGCTGATTACAGAAAATCCCCCA